ACATCTCGAGATCCTTAACTTAAAGAAAACCTGCTGCAGAGGAAAGAGGGCTGATTGAGGAGAAAACACTCTGAGGAAATAAACACTAAATTAAAATCAATGCCAGGAGTGATTAAAGTCTGCATAAAAACTTCAGAAAATTGAAATGAAGTGGGGGACTATCTTGAAACATTCTCCTAAGAAGAAGTGAAGTGATAAGCGGGAAGCGATAAAGAGATTAAAACCATCAGGACAAAACAGTAAAACAGAGATGATTCAACTGAAGAATTATTAAGCTTCTGAAGGAAGAAGCATTAAGATCAAAAGGCAAATGACAAAATGAGGGAATGTTGGCCACGTACAGCAGATCAGGTGTCAACAGTTTTAAGGGAGAAAACTTTTTCAGTAGCATAAGAAAGTACATAAACAGATGATTCATAAAGAAATACAGGGGCTTCTCTGGTGGTCCAGTGGTTAGAAATCTGCCTTGCAATGCAGGGGACACTGGTTCAATCTCTAGTCTGAGATGATCCCACATGCCGCTGGACAGCTAAGCCTGTGTACAACTACTGAACACGCTCCAGAGCCTGCAACCCACACCTCCTGAGCCTATGTGCCACGGCTACTGCAGCCCGAGCGCCTTAGAACCTGTGCTCTGGAACAAGAGAAGCCACTGCAATGAGAAGCCCGAGCACCGCAACCAGAGGGCAGCCGCCGCACAGCAACGAAGAGCCGTCACAGCCAAAAAGAAAAAGAAAGAAGTTCTCTTTAAAAAAGAAATACAAATGCCCAATACACACATGATAAAATTTCAACTTCCCTAACCACCCAGGAAATAAGGATGAACACGAAATATTACTCACTTCTAAAAATGACAGATATCATTTGTATGCTTTACAAATATGTAATAAACAGTAATATTCAGTTCTGGCAAGGATGTGGTAACCTGAATGTTCTCATGAACAGCTGATGTGGGTGTAAACTGGCATAAACTGTTGGGAGGCAGTATGTATCAAGAACTGGAAAAATGGTTTATCAGTTTTCTTGTAAATTCTAAAGCATTTCCTTAAGAAGGAATCAGAGTTATGGGAAAAAACTTAAGATTTAGAGCTGTTCATTGCAGTTCTCCCTAATAGCTTTTTAGAAATTCTGAATATCCAGTCACAGGAATACTAGATACTTTCTTGTACATCTGTCCACCTTGTACGGCTGGCAAACTTTTTCTGTGAGGGACTAAATAGCAAGTATTTGCAGGCACTATGGTCTCCAGTGCAGTGGCTCAACTCCGCTGCTGCAGCGTGCAAGCAGCCGCAAGCAATGTGTGATGAATGAGCGCAGCCATGTTCTAATAAACTTTGTTTTAAAAACAGGGCCAGATGGATGCAGAGTTCGGTTTCCCAGCCTCTGATCTATATGATGATATCTTATATAATTGCTAAAACCTGTGTTTTGATAAACATGTAATAACTAAGTTAATAAAAGTTGGAAAACTAAATGGAATATGATACCAAAATAAGAAAAGTTTGGTGGGAAATAACACAGAGGTATTCATGTTGATCATTGCTTGATGGTTGAATTACCTTGAACTTGGTTTTCTTCTTTATAATTTTGGGGGGTATTTTTCAAATTTTCTCCACAATAAATGCATTTTAGTTTTATAATCTAAAAGTGATTTATCCATTAAAATGCTTTTATAGAACGTAAGAATCAATTAAAATAGGTCTCCAGGGATGATGGAATCATGGATGAATTAAAAAATAGTTTTATGGTATTTAAGTTGATCTTATAAGGATAGTTTTGAAATTTCAAAAATGAGGAGAACATACTTTTGCGTCAGTGCAAACTCTAGATAGCTTCTCGACAAAAAGATAACTTAATTCTATTTGTAGCAAAAGTTCTGTGGAAACAATAATGTAATAATTGTAAGACAAATGAACCCCAGAGGCAGAAATGTGATTTAATCACAGAGATGTGTTACATTTGTTTTCAGAATCAAATTTCTTCTTTTTCCCTGCTAATGACCACTTGTCTCTTTATATTTTTAGACTTATAAATAGCATGCTATGTTCTGACGTCTGCTGCTGTTGTTTCAGTTGCTAAAGCCCCACGGACTGTAGCCCGCCCGACTCCTCTGTCCACGGGGTTTCCTAGGCAAGAAGAATACTGGAGTGGGTTGCCATTTCCTCTTCCAAGAGATCTTCTCGATCCAGGGATTGAAGCTGCGTCTCTTGCACTGCAAGCAGGTTCTTCACCCCTGAGCAACCAGGGAAGCTTTCTGAGGTTCATCAGGTAATTTCGGGAGGCCTTGGCCGCTGCAGACGGATGTCCCATTTAGGCAGCGAGGGTAATGACTCTGCTCAGTGCTGATCCGTGCTGGCCGGGCATGGTGCTGGCACTTTACACAGGTGACAGACGCGACTCTCATCTCCACACTGTGCCGATCTTACAGAGGAGAGCACTGACATTCAGAGGGGATTTTGCCAAAATCACACAGGGTATAGACCATTTCTGGAATCTGTGTTTTTGCTACTACAATGAACTCCCCTCAATCAATAAGTAAGTTTCAAATTTGTACATCTAAAATAGTTTAAGACACTAAAGTGGAGATAAATTTAATTTTTTTCTCAATAATTGACTTTTTAATTTGTATTGATTTTTTAAAATGTAATTTTCTTTCAGGGGGCTGATATTTTCTAAAAATTGCTTGCCACATTGACGACAAAGACTGAAAACAGAGAGTCTGTGTAGAAGCAAAGAGACCTCAGTGCATTTTACTGCCGCACATGTAACTTGAAATAAAAATGCCTTCAGTTGTCACAGAACTACTAGAGGACACAGTAGTGAGAAACGGAAATGAAGGTCATTCTCGAATTTTAGCTTTGATCAGAACACCCAGGAAGTCTGTAAAAAGACTAATTCCCTGCCTTTGCCCTGAAGGTTTCTGCTTTGGCAGATCTGGGGTGGAGTCAGAAATCAGCATTTTCAACAAGCTCCCAGGTTATTCTGATTCAGAGGGTGCAATGGCCACCCCTTAGAAATATCAGGCTGGACAACTATCAGAGGTTACAGCAGTCTCCTACAATTATGGGCAGATCCATGTGGTTCCAGGTCCAAGCTGAAATGCTGTGCTGGGTCTTGAACACGCCTCATTAAAGATGCTGGGTGGTTTGTCTCTCCCCTGCCCCAGCAGGTTGTCAGTTCAACCGTGAGAGGGGAACACACATATATGAGCTCACTTCCAGAAAAAAAATGAGGTTTGGGGGGATAAGGTCCAGGGATTGGCAGAAGTCACTGATTGAGCAGCTGTTCCACTTCTGGGAATTGATCAACTTCAGCACATTTTAACTTGCCTTCTGGTTGGTTTCTTGCCATTCCCTTCTCCAGGAGAATTTCCCAACCCAGAGATCAAACCCAGGTCTCCTGCATTGCAGGCAGATTCTTTACTCTCTGAGCTACCAGGGAAGCTCTATTTGTATTTCAGTAACATAAAATAATGTTTAATCTCAAATGGGGAAGCACAAGATTATTCTGAGAAGAAAAATCAAAGAAGCTAGCAAACTTATGTAATAATGCTTTGCCAATAAAGATGAACATCCTTCCTGGATGTATTTCATTCAGAAGACTTTCCAGATTTTGTAACAGGAAGAATACAGTTGAGTAATCTTGGAGAAGTTTGAGACATTGACATGGAATCCAGATGGGAAATGTGACTGTTTGTTTCGTGCGGTGTGTATGGCGTTAGAGATGGGGTCTCAGTCTGATGAGGGTGAGTCCATTGCCTGGAATCAAGAATGACTCACTAAGGCTTCTGTATGAGCAAGAATTTCTTCCCAGGGGTCCTTCTGGTCCTAGGACACTTGCCTTCCCTGGGAATTGATGATGCAAAAGGCACTTCACATTCCGAGTTTGTTCCACTTCGTCCAGGGCACATGGCTCAGTGGAAGGCATTGACTTGAAGCTTGCAGATCTATCTTTAAGTTCCAGCCTGGCCACATGCCAGGTTATTGCCCCCGAGCGAGGCACATCACCTCTATGAGCCATTGTTTCCTCATTTATAGGGCATGTGTAAAACTTCAACAAATAAAATGTATTGGGTTGGCCAAAAGGTCCGTTGAATTTTTTTTTCTATAAGATGGCTCTAGTAGTGCTTAGTTGCCTTTAACTTCATTTGAAACAATTTTGTTTAGATTGTATTGTGACATCTATCATACCAGCATGCATTTAAAAAAACTTATCAAAATTAGTGAGTTTTTGTGTAGTTATTTTAATATTGAAGACAGAAGGAAGAAGAGATATTTTTATTATGCTTTATTATTTCAAGAAAGGTAAAAATGCAACTGAAGCAAAAAAAGATTTGTGCAGTGTACGGAGAAGGTGCTGTGACTGGTCGAATGTGTCAAAAGTGGTTTGAGACGTTTCACGCTAGATTTCACGCTGGAGGATGCTCCGCAGTTAAGGTAGTGGAACAAAATGGTGAATACGTTGTTCAATACAGTTATTGGTGAAAATGAAAAATATGTCTTTTATTTTTACTTAGAAACCAAAGGAAATTTGTAGCCAACCCAATAGGTATATACGCTTTATAAGTATTATATAAGCTATATGTTTGGTTCTCAGGGAAGGCAACTGCGCTTCCTAACACTTTGGTTTTGCCTGTTTAGATCCTGCTGCACTAATATCAGGCTTCCCTGCTGGCTCAGATGGTAAGGAATCTGCCTACAACGTGGGAGACCTGGGTTTGACCCCTGGGTTGGGACGATCCCCTGGAGAGGGGAATGCTACCCACTCCAGTGTTCTGGCCTGGAGAAGTCCAAGAGGTCACAAAGAGTCAGACACGACTGAGCGATTAAAACACACACACACACACACATACACACACTAATATCATTGGACTAAGAATATCTTTTCTCAAAGTGAATACACTCACGTGACTCTACTCACTCAGATTTATTGCTGTTTGTCAAATGACCCTTACTCTATTTTGGTCACACTGGGTGGGCGCGCTGGTGGGCTTTACTCACCTGATTCTCTTTCAGGGTTATCTGTCCCTGTTCCTTACACCCAGTGAAGGTTCTAACACATCTAAAAATCTTCTCATTTTGGTGTACTCTCTGAACAAAGTTGGCTGGAAAGAAGCCAATTCTGTCTTGAATTTTCCCCTGAAAGGAAAAAAAAGAGGCATGCAGCCATAATTGTAGCATTCATGGTAATTATAGTTACCAAATGATTTTTCTTAAAGAAAAAGAAATACTTACTTTCCACCAGTCTTCATTAGAATCCTCTAGAAGAGTAATCATGTCTCCTGGCCTAAAATGAAGAATGAATGAGTTGGGTGGGGGGTAGAGAGGGTGAAAAAGAAAAAGATGGTATTTTAAAATCAGAAGTGGTAGCTTTCACTCACCCAAATAATACTAAAATAAAAATGAATTTTACCTGCTCTTCCCACCCATGAAAGTAGCTTTGTTAGAGGCTGAACGCAAATGTAATTTCTGTGCTGTATTTAGAATAAAGTCTTTAACTTTATTTTTATACACAGATGATCATCTCTGCATTGTAAAAAACTCTAAAATGTCTAAGTCTAAAATATGAAAACTGGAGTTTTTTCATATTCTGCCCCCTAATCCTCCTCCCACTGTCCAGAGGTGACCACTGTTGTTTCCTGTGTCTCCTTCTGGACTCTTTTCCACGCACTGACATTTATACAGAGATATGTAGGTGTATTTGCTGTTTCTTTTGTCTTCTATTGACATCTAGAATGAGGCATTGTCTTTATTATTAGCTGCATCTTCTCAGTACCTTCTTGAAACCACTTTTACTTAATTTCCATTTCCCTTGTCTGCCACTTTTTATGTTGGTATAATCAGGAGGTTTGTTTTAGACTTGTGTGTGTGTGTGTGCATGTTATATCCTTCATTAGGAATTACTTGGGTTTAACTGAAGACTTATATGATGTTTTTGCTATGGGTATTGTAGATACGGTGATTATTGCCACCTCTAATTTGATTTTCACATCCACCTGTGTGTGTGTGTATGTGTGTGTCTTTTATTCCTTCTGCTCTGCACCTAATGGCACTTTTACTATCTGAAGACTCATATTATTTTTCAACTTGGGAAAATCCTGTCCACTATTTTTTCACTGTTTTCTCCCCATCATTTTCTTTCTTTTTTTTCCCTGGAATTTCTAGTCAACATGTGTTAGGCTTTCTAGATCAATTATCTATATCTTTTGTCTTACATATTTTCTGTCTTTAACAAGAAATCTAGTCTAAAATTTTTCTCAATTTAATCTTCCTAATTGCTTAGTTTGTATATGGGTTTATCTCTTGTAATATTTATTACAGTACTGAGGGTTTTAGGGAAAATTTAATTTCCAAGAGTTCTTTATCATTTTCTGAATGTCTCCTTTTCACACTTGTCAACTTTATCTTATGGACAGAATAGCATGATGGATATTGCTGAGGATATTATTAGATATTAAAAACAATATTTCTTCCCTTTATTAAATTTGTTTCCATTAGGATTAGTTAGAGTGTTCTTTGTCTTACTGCTTCTTTTTTTGGTTGTGCTGAGCAGCATTTGGGATCTTACTTCCCTGAGCAGGGATTGAACCCATGCCCCCTGCAATGGAAGCACAGTTTATCTTACTAGTTTACTTTTCCTTCATGTCAAGGGATTTTGTCTTGCACCTGTGTTTCTTGGCTATTTCTTTATATTCATAACTGAAAACACAGGGTGTGACTCTCTGGGTGAGTTTCTCCACTATCAGCTACATCTGCATCTGCAATGTGTAAGAGCTAATTTCTAGCTCTGCTTAAGACAGCGGGGTGTGTCAGTTGATGCATCTCATTTTTGGATGCTTGAGAGTATAGCAGACAAGCAGTTTGGGGACTCCCACCACCACCCCAATGGCTAAAACAAGGGTGGCTTTCTTAACCCTGGGAAGGAGAAGGTTAATTTATTTTCCTCCAAGTAAAGCTGACTTTTCCTTCCCTACCATTCTCTACAAGCTCTGGAGGTCCAGAACTACCTCCAATTCTTTTTCTTTCTCAGTCTTTTGGGCCACACAGGGGCACACTTCCCTGGGCATGGGTTCCCTTTCTTAGAGCACAGGTGATGGTTTAATTCTACAGTCAAACACCACTGCTGCCTATTTTTCTTTCTACACCACTGCTGCCTATTTTTCTTTCTAAGTAGTAATAATGGGTTATAAACGAACACTGTTGGGACTCTGTATCAGTTATATATTGCTGTGATAACGCTGTGTAACAAACAACCCCCCAAATCTCAAAGGTTCACTCACATTTTTGAGTGCTGGCTGAAATGACTGGGGTGATTTTGCCTTATTCCACGTTTCTCATACCCAAGAAGGCCAGTTTGGACATTCATGGCATTGCCAGGGCAGCAAATGGAAATGTGGAAAACACGTAAGGCTTCTAATGCATAGGCTCAGAACTGACATGACACATTTTCATTCTGCCTCAAAGCAACTCTGGTGAAAGAATTGTAAAGTCTCATGGCAAACAGCATGGATGCAGGGACAGTGAAGAATTGGGGCCACTAATGCAATTCAGCTACTGCGACACCCGCATGCTCTTTTGTGAGATCAGTGTCTGTTTGAGTATGTTCTTACATAGATGTTTCTCTCTGAGCATTCTTTGGACTCTGGTCATCTTCCTTGTTCTCAATTTGCTGTAGTCTCCAAAGAAATTCCCAAGATTTGGGGGTCTCTGATACTGTTATTCTTATTTTCTAGTACTATTATGGAGATATTCTTAGAAAAATGTATTTCTCACACTTTAAGGGATTGGAGCAAGAAGGGAAGCAGATTTGTGTGCTCCCTTTGCTATTCTGGTTCAATCTTCTCTGCTGTCATTTTCAATTCTCAGCTAATATCTATCTTTGTAGGGGATTCCAAATATAACAGGCTTGTTACATCTGAAGCATTAAACACAACTGGCATTTTGGTATTTCAACAGTCACAGATTCATACTGATGTCACAGAAAGCGAGGAGGATGAAAATCACTCTTTTCCCAGGTGAGGGATTTAATTAAGCAGCAAGGATGAAAGTCGATGTAGAAAAATCCTTCTAGCTCCAGCAGATTTTATTTAACCTAGTAACCTAAGAAACTGTGTGTTAGCATCAACTAGAGTGACTTTGCTGATGGTTGGGCAGAAATTATAAGTAGGGAATCAAGATTGGAAGAGGGGTCTTCCCCTTGGTGTGAAACAGTGTTGCCTGAATCCAACCTCTATTTTTCTAAAAAAATATGTATTTATTTATTTGACTGCATCAGGTCTTAGTTGCAGCATGCAAACTCTTAGTTGAAGCATATGGGATCTAGTTCTCTGACAGGGATTGAACTTGGGTCCCCCTGCATTGCAGAACGTGGAGTCAGCCACTGGATCACCAGGGAAGTCCCTCCAACATCTATTTTTATGGTCGGGATGGTCAATCTTGACCGCATTGCCCAGAGGTAGACAGTCCCTGAGCCCATGACCCATGTGAAATAAACCACACGTAAGAATAAAGCACTCACTGGAATACAAGCTATAATTTTATGAGAAAGATCAGATATCCCGACAGCATGATAGGGATTCTGTTTTAGGAAAGAGCGCTGTCAGCATCTGAAAACTGCTTGGTGAGTGAGGAGAATTACATTCATCCCTTTATCCTGTGTTGTTCTGTTTACCTGCTCATTCCACAAATATTCTAGACCACTGACTCTGAAAGGATGATTTTACTAGGCATTGGGTATACTTTGGTGAGTAAAGGCCTCACAGGAGCTAATATTCTAGTGAGAAAGATGGATAATAAATAAGAAAATGCATAATTAAACATTTCATAAATAATAAATATAGAATGTGTATGCATAACAAATAAATAATTGCAAATTGTCTTCAGGGCTATCAGTGAAATAAACAGGATGCATAAAGAATGAGTGATTCCTACTGATATGACTTAAATACTCTAATAATGAGGCAGAGACAGCTAATGTGTTTTTCATTTTGGGGAGGATCTTGCTTTAGGGCGGTACTTGAACCCCAAACAACAACTCTCTAATATCTGGGTCGGTACATGTGTGGCTTGTGGGGCTTCTGCTGCCCTCTGGCCTCTGCCTGGCATCCCCCAGCAATCTCAGCATTCTTTCCCACTGAATCCCCCTTAGATCCTTTCCCACTATGGGCTCTGGGCAGTTGATCTGAGCAGGCACTTAAGGTAAAATCATTCTGCGTAATATAATATTTTTAATTTATTTTAAAAAATGCCTTGACCCACTTTGAAACTCTGTCTAGGGACTGATGAGCTCCTCTTAGACAACTGATTAAATTAACAACCCACACTACCTCCCTCTGGGGGCTCGAATGCTCTGGGGCATTATGCACCAGCCTCATCCTTAACTGCCCTGGCGCGGGCTCCGGACAGCTCAGGACAGCCTCTGGGACTAGAGCCTGGGGCATTATTCAAATCAGCTAACCCGGGGGAGCCTGGGAAACCTCACTAACCCAGCTGCTGACCACACGTAAGCTGCCCCTACAGCTCCAGCGGCTGTTACCCCGACTCCCCCGTCGCTGGTGTGGTCCCGTGTGGCTGCACCACACACTTCACTCTCAGCTGCGGGTTCTCTTCTAACCTGCTCTCAACTCAGGCCTCTTCCCCTTCCTCCTGCCCACCTGCTCTCCTGACACAGAGCCTTGCCATGGGTCTTGGTAGAACGGAGGCCTAAGGCTTAAAACTCTCCTTCCTTGGGTTGTTCCTAGGATGGACACTGCCAGGGTGTGACTCTCTGCCTCCAGCTGTTTTACGCCTCTGTGTTGACTGGAGCCCTCTCCATGAAATAATTCTTATTTTGTATTATCACATTCTGTTAGTGGAAAGTCCTGCTCTGGTCTATCAGCTATTTTCTTTCTTTTAGGTGACTTTATATTCTGATCCATTATATATAGATTTTATAATTTAACTCTCTATTTCCAAATCTTGGAGATGAACTCCAAAAAAAGTGAAAGTGAAAGTTGCTTAGTTGTGTCCGACTCTTTGTGACCCCACGGACTATACAGTCCATGGAAGATGAACTCATCTGGCTCCCAAATACTTAAAATACTTTGTGCATGCTAAGTTGCTCAGTCATGTCCGACTCTTTGTGACCCTATGGATGGTAGCCCACCAGGGTCCTCTGTCCATGGGATTCTCCAGGCAATAATACTGGAGTGGGTCGCCATGCCCTCCTCCAGGGGATCTTCCTGTTTCTTTTCCTTAATTCAATCAATCAGAACATCCTAAGTTCAGGTAAAAATTCTGCTGCATTGT